GAGCCACCCTTTTACATCATCACCGAATTCATGTCGCACGGCAATCTTTTGGATTTTCTGCGCTCGCCTGCTCGCGAAACTTTGGACGCTGTGGCATTGCTTTATATGGCCACACAGATTGCCTCCGGCATGAGCTATCTGGAATCGCGTAATTACATACATCGCGACTTGGCGGCGCGCAACTGTCTTGTGGGCGATAATAAACTTGTGAAAGTTGCCGATTTTGGGTTGGCGCGCCTTATGCGCGATGACACGTACACAGCGCATGCTGGCGCCAAATTTCCCATCAAGTGGACCGCTCCGGAGGGTCTGGCGTACAATAAGTTCAGCACAAAATCGGATGTTTGGGCATTTGGCGTTTTGCTGTGGGAAATCGCCACCTATGGCGCTTCACCATATCCCAATATTGATCTCACCGATGTATTTCATAAGCTTGAGAAGGGCTATCGCATGGAGCGGCCGCCAGGTTGCCCGCCGGAAGTTTACGATTTGATGCGTCAGTGTTGGCATTGGAATGCGGCAGATCGGCCGACATTCAAGAGCATACATCATGCATTGGAGCATATGTTTCAGGTGGGTGAGGTGTGGGATGACAATGGTGACAGTGGTGAATTTTGTGAAGATTATGATGATGAAGATGATGAGGAAGAAGATGATGTTGATGAATACGATGAGGATGATGAAGATGATGACATTGATGATGAGGATGATGGCGTCGAACTTTGATGTGATCGTAACGGCAATCTTGGGCGCAAATGTGCCAATGCAACTGAAGTGGCAGTAAGCAGCGGCATGTTGCTAACCACTGTGACCGATACGATAAGAGACGCTGTCTTTGTAGAGCCTCATAAATATAAAATAAGTCATGAAAATCACAATGATGATGATAAAATAGATATGCACATGAAAATACGTTGTAAGAACAATAATAATAACGGACGACCACGTCTCGTTTTCTTCGATCTGCAGGAATCATCGATTACTGAGGCGGTCGCAAAACAATTGAATGCCACAACGATGACACAGAGTCTAACGCCGCAAATGGGTAAAAAGGGTATACCAGCGAATGGTGGAGGCGGCGGAGGTGGTGGTGTTGGTGGTGGCAGCAGTAGCGGCGGCGGCGGCGCTGGCGGAGGCAGTTTAACACCAAGCGGCGGCATGCTAGAACAGCCACCAGCCGGCACTCCAATGTCGGGTAAGTATTGCAATAGAAGATTTCAATAGCCAAAAATAAATATATTTACAGGACAATTTGAATTTCCATTAATTTTTAATAACACCTTTTTTTATTCAGAAACCGGTTCTACATCGACAAAATTGAGCACTTTTTCCAGCCAAGGTAAAGGAAATGTGCAAATGCGCCGCACCACCAACAAGCAAGGAAAACAGGCGCCTGCGCCTCCTAAGCGTACGAGGTATATGAGCCTGCAGTAATGTCCTTATGTAATGTTAATGCCATATCTTTGTTTATTTTTGTTTTGTTTGCAGCTTACTTTCAACCAGCCGCGATTCTACTTATCGTGATGATGAGTCACGTAATCTCATTGACGAGCACAATACAAATGGTAGTAGCATCTTTTTCAACCTACAACAACAACTACAAAAACAACTGCAAAAGCAAACTCCAATACAACCACAACCATATAATGTTGTTGTTCAACCCAGTACTACCCCAACCAATAACACTAATAAACGTTGCAAAACGAATTCTTATACTTTGTGTACTACACCACCTCCTCCCCAATATTCTATAAAGAAATCATCCTCTTGCAGTAGTTTCCTAATCGATATACTTTTTCGAGGTATTTCACACCTGAGTAAGATTATTAAACCATTTTTCTTTGTTTCGATTTTTTCGTTCATTTGTTAATTGTTACATTTCATTTTCAATGCTTTAATATTACTTTTGGTTTATTGGTTCGTATTTGTAGTAAGTTGACTATATTTTTATTTGAGTAATGAATATGTGATTTGGACGTACATATACCACAGCGCAATTGTGCACACTCATTCGTCTGTCCATCTGTATGAACGTTAAACACAAAGGTTTATATTGGCTTTCGTCCAAAGTTCTATGATATCGATAATGTGAAAAATCTGGTAGTAACCATGTAATGGACTTCGGTTTCTTCTTTCAATAGTCTAATGGGGCACGTCGGTTCTTCTCTTCTATGCTAATTGAAACTAATCTTAAATGCCAAGTCCTTCTCCACCGAAAAGGAGGCCTTCCCCGTTGCGGTATTCGCCGTCGCCAACGAGGAACGGTCCGTAAAACTTCCGCAGAATTATATTATTATTTTTTTTTTATGAGCCATATACGACGCGACCGCTGACATAGTCTAATGTGCGTAGTATTTCATCCTATATGTGAAGGCTTTTAATGTCCCTTAGAATTTTTTTTACCAAAATTCAAATATATAAAATGTGTCCCTCTAAAGCTCCCTATTTCAATATCATATAGCTAGCGTTGCCATTGAAATCTGTGCGCACAACTAGAACCTAGGAGATATTTTTTTAATACACTTTTGTGTAGCAAATCAGTTGAACATCCTCTTTTTGCCGTCACTCAATGCTCCACACCAAAAGTAAGAATTAAGAACAGAAATTTGTTTGGTCACTGTAATTAAAAAATAAATAAAAATTATAATGATTACTTTTTTTCTGTGCATAAGTGCGCTGGGTATATCAAGTTCGGTTTCGCCCGAACTTACACACTACTTGCTTCCCTCTTTAGGGAAATTTATTTTCTTTAACTTTAAGACTAATAAATATTAGTCCCTTGTAGCTCTTGAATTTCTGTAATACTTGCGTTATTTTAAGAAAACTTTTGCCTCCTTATTCAACTCACCTATTTTGTTGTTTGGCCCTATTTTGTGATATATTTTACTTACCAAATGTTACAAACTTTCGTTTCCTTTTTCAATAATTTTGTAATTAACATTTGTTACTTTCTTACTAATAATTTAAAGATATATTTATAATTAATAACTGTGTAAATTATACAGGGTTGCAACGAAGGTATTGTATTTAAGTCATAAGGTAGCTTCTCACTTCAAGGTGTATCTGAATAAAAGAAAAATTAGCAAACAAATCACACGCATGCAAGTTACCTTTTGGATTGGACCTCGTACGTACCTTGTGAGTCTTGAAGTGAGTGCACAAGCTATTTTTCTTACTTTCCTGATCACCCTGTATAAATGCGCATAAATATGTACATGAATACATATGTATGTATGTATGTAACTTTGATTAATTTGCTTTATGCCTTCCATATTCATTTCCACTTCCATTTCAATAATCTTACTGCCTGGTTGATGGACCTCTTCATATTTACTGCTAATGCCGCCCCAACAATGCATCCACCACTAACTACGCATTGCTCTTCTTTGCATACTTTCAAAAATTGCTAGCTTGCTCATTTGACTAACAACAGTTACTTCTCTTTGTTTATTTTCTCAACTCCAACTTCTACATGTAGGTCTTACGCGTGATATTAATAATCTTGGACAGCGCTATGATTCCGAAAACGACAATACAACTGGTGATCCTGACACTGATGCTACCGGCGATAGTTTGGAGTGCCAAAATATACCCACCCAAAGCAAGGTACAGCATTCGCTCCATAGCGGTGGAATTGGACCACGTTCCGGCCAACAACATAGCTCCTTCAAACGACCCACACCAGTTATGGGCAACCGCGGCCTCGAAACTCGTCAAAGTAAACGCTCACAGCATCAGCAGCAGCAGCAACAACATGCGCCACGCGATAGCAGCGCTGGCGCTTGTACACCACATCACGTCACCGTTGGCGCGCTTGAGGTGAAGAATGTAAAGTGCGTTGTCAATCGCTATGGCACTTTGCCCAAGGTACAGCGCATAGGTGCATTCCTCAACAGTCTCGAGGATCCGAATACGCCACCACAACACGGCATCACTACTCATCTAAATGCAGTCGCCGCGCCGGTCACCACAAATGGGCATGGTGTTGGTGGTGTGCATGCTGCCGCACGTCAGCAACTTCCACCGGCGCATGTGATGCCAATACCGACGCCACCAACAAAATCAGCAGCAAACATTAATTCTGGAAATGGCAGCAGTGGCAGTGGAACTATACCGACACCACCACAGCAGATGATACGCAGCAATTCTTCGAGTGGCGTCACTATGCAGAACAGCGCATCAGCGAGTTTGAATAAACTGCAGCGTCATCGCACAGCTGCCGATGGCACAATGATGACGTTTTCCTCATTTCGGGGCGCATCCTCCAGCAATTCACCAAAGCGCAGTCAACAGCCAGCATTAGCCAATTTGGAGTTTCCACCGCCACCACTGGATTTGCCACCGCCACCGGAGGAATTCGAAACACCACCGCCGCCACCACCACCAGCACCTGAAGTGTTGGAAGAACTACAGGCTGCAAGCAGCGCAACTACCACGCACTATCCATTGCCGAATAGCAGCAGCAATGATGTCTCGAATACTGCACCAAGTGTTGAGGAGGCCAGTTCGCGCTTCGGGGTGTCGCTGCGAAAACGTGAGCCGTCGACAGACTCGTGCAGTTCGTTGGGATCACCACCGGAAGTTGTTGGAAATAGTGGCGGCAATGTTCAGGAGTTCAATATGAAGGAGAAATTGATGGCAGAGATAAAAGATCGTTCCAAAGAGAATTCCGCTAACAATGTGAATATACAAAATGGCACCACGGGTCCAGCACCAGCTGGTAGTGGTGTTGATCCCGTATCCTTATTGTTCACCGAGTTGGCCGAAATGAATTTGTCAAAGCAAAAGTCAATACCACCACCACCACCAAAAACTCTCAGTGGTGGTTGTGCTGGCGATTCAAGCGGTCCACAAGCACAGGAGAATGGCAATACGAACTCCTTTAAGGCACAGCTAAAAAAAGTAGAACCAAAAAAATTACCAACACCCACACAAAAGACCGAAAACCAGACGACGATCATCGACTTCAAAGCTCATTTGCGAAAAGTTGAAAAAGATCCAAAGGATAAAAAAGACGTAGGCGCAGATGAAGCTCCTAAAAGTTTATTACAAAAAGGACAAGCTGTGACCGCAACGGGTACGTTGGGTCGCAAAGGTGACAAGAAATTCACCACAGTAATGACATCGGCGACCGCTGTGACGCCAGCAACACAAAAGACTGAAAATGCAAAAAATGATATGACCAATAGCAATAATGGTAATTCCGTAAATTCCACGAATACTACTCACTCAACTTCCAACACGAATGGCAATACTCACCACGCAAACGCAAACTCAAATTTGAACTGCAACAACACCACAGGTATTTCTGAGTCGGCAGATAACTCAGTGGGCGTAGTTGAAACCGAGACAGGGAAGCGACGTAGCACAGGTAGTATAAGTAGTTTGAAAAAGTTGTGGGAGCAGCCGGGTGGCAGCTCTGACTATGCAAGCACCCAATCCCAGGCGAACTGCGCAACAAATAGCGGCATGGCAGGCACGACTTCCAACGTCACCAGCACCACCATCACCTCAAGCACTAATCAACTTTCACCCAAATTCAATTTGAAGCCCATTTCGAATACTGCAACCACGCCCACTGCAAATTCAAATCGTTTTCCATCACTTAGCACTCAAATTTCACCACGTACCAATGTCGCCACCACGGCTGGCACAAATTCCATTGCAAATAAGCCACCACCGGCAGCGCCACCACCGCCACCCCCTACTACCAACAGCACAGCCAATCAAAATCAAAATTCCATTTTCAACAATTCCCATTGCATGAAATCCCAACTAACAACCTCTCTTTCGACTCAACTATTCACAGATAGTAATCAGTACGCCGACCAAGGCCAATGCACTTCAGCAACCACCAACAACACCACCGCTAACTCATCAGGAAACAATACAACGACTAACAACGAAATCGCTTCAATGACACAATCACTTTTCGTAGAGCATAGCAGCACCGCCAACAGCGGCAGTTGCCTACACCAACAAAACAATAAACTCACCACATCAACCATCTCGACAAACACGGCTGTGAATAATACTTCAAATAACATTTCAACTACAAATAAGCCCGCCGTACCACTCAAGCCCACCAAGTTGACCATCTATGCCACGCCCATTTCGCAGAAGATCGCCGCCAGCGCATTAGATAGCTCAACTAATTCACCACTCAGCAGCGCGCTACAGAGTTCCACGCAGATCTCACGCGAAAGCATACTCGAACTGGTAGCGCTCCTCGAGAGTTCATTGCATCAACACCCGGTGAATTCGATCTCCGCGTCACAATGGCTGCAGCTGAGCGACAAACTCAATATACTGCAAAATAATTGTGTAGTTTTCGCCGACAACGAATCTATGCCGCCACACTCGAAATTTCATTTTCGTGAGTTGGTGACACGTGTCGAAACGCAATCGCAGAGTTTACGCACAGCCGGCAGCAAAAATGTGCAAGATAACGAGCGGCTGGTGAGCGAAGTGGGACAGTCATTGAAGCAGATAACAAATGCGCTGCATAGGTAAATATTATTGAAGCGGGAAACACGGGCGGCGAGAGCAAACAGTTACAATGGTACTGAAGACGAAGTGGCAGATGATGAATTGCCGACTTGGCGTAGTTGGCTGGACGCCGAAGGAAATTTTATAAAGCGCAAATGAAAGCTGCTAAGTTGAATGCGATGATGTGATGAGTTTGTGTTCTGCGAGATGTGATGTAAAGGCTTTAGTTTCCTGCTTTGTGGTGAAAGCATATCATGAATGTGAAGAAACTGTGGAATTTGGGTGATGTGTGATGGGCACATTAATTTGTAAAATGCAAGGACGATATATACGGAAAATGCCACATAAAAGATTGAATATCTGCTCTTTTCATTTTATAGTCTTGCAAAAATTAATGGTGTTATTTTAGAGCGTTATATAGGGTGCGCGCAAACACTTTAAGCAAAACAATTATAAACACTATTGTTTATGTTTATCAATGTTAAAGTTCAGGGTTCTAAATCCATATTAGTTGTGTACAATTTGTTTCATTGATTAACAAACGAAACCACAGTATCAACTATTTTTCGCGTTCTTGTGTTAACCCTGTATAAGAACAAAATTACAAAATCTAGTCATACATGAAGAATCCAATTTAAATTGCTGTTAGTTGTAGACTTACCCTCAAATGAAATCAAGACATTTTAAATTACTTGTACTAGTTACTAGCTTAATGACAGCAATTAATGAAGCAAAAAAAAATCGAAAAGTTAGTAAGACTTGCATTAAGTATTCATTTACTACATATAACTAATTTGTAGGTCTTGCTTTATGAACATATTTTTTTTGGTAAATTTAATAATTTAAAAATTGTTTCCATATTTTAGACATTTTTATTATATAGATATATATTACATAGAAGTTTAGTATTTGTAAGTAGAATTATACAAATTTAATCAATACTATTTTAATTATACAAATAAATGCAATTTGTATGTGTCATTTTAGCGTTAAAATTTTTTAAACACTGCTTTTAAGAAATGAAATACAGTTTTATCAAAAAAAGATGTTTAGATTTCTAAAGTAAATGCCAAGTGTTAAGCGTTATTAATGTTCCAAAGTATATACATTGATACATATGTATGTACTACATATGTACGTCACATATTTAGTGCGTTGTGTTATATTCACTTTTTTTTTTCTTACATTCTAATTCTATCACATTCAAGTGCCAAAGATTCACAAAAGTTGATGCCTAAACTGAAACTGCCTAGGGAAATCCAAAAAAGTTATGACTTCGCCGGTTCTGGTAAGAGCATACAACATTGCCCATCAACTGCTAGAGTCACAGTGATCTTCTCCATGACATACATACATACATATATTCTAAAGTAATTTCGCAATAAAATAAACATTTATCAGACGTACGCTAAGCAAGTCTGCTTTTATGCATAAAGCTCGGTACCTACTTCGCTACAATTTATTTTAAAGGCGAAACACTTTTCCTTGCCTAAAAATTATTCCAGCACACGCATTTATCATCGCTCATTTTCACTGAATAATAACTTTATTTTGTCTGTGATACATACTTTCTGGCATTATTTTCTTCTAAAATTTGCAATCAAATTGTTGGAATGTCTAACTTTGCTTTCAGGGTTTTTAAGATAGTTATTCTTAGAAGAAAGACTTAGAATGTTTACATATCGTTGAGGAAATGTAGAAAGGGGCATACTTGACATTTTTTATAACATCACTTTTAAGGCTGTAACCTAGTCGGCAAAATAGGAAGCGCTTCTAAATGCGTTCAGGCGGGGCTTGAATGATCTCCAAAAGCCCTTCCATTCAAAGGCGGGCCTGTGTTTCCAAAACAACGGATGTCAAATAAAGGAAATAATCGCAGTAGGCATGTCGCTGAAGCAAAGTAAATGTGCGCTGTGCCAATATTATTTGGTGCAAGTTTTCCCTGCTAAGAGAAGTTGAATCAAAAGACGTGAGACCCTGGTCTTAAAATAAATAAATATTTGGCGCTTCTACTTTTGCTAAGTATTTGGCCGAGCTTCTCCTTTACCTTTGGTGTGAGTCTTGATGTTACGCCGCCTCCGGATGGCAAATGGTTGCTTCTGCGAGAAGCTTTTTCAATGCAACCGCTGTTAGAAAAAGACATTTTCTAATTTTAGATGGTGTTCCTACTAAGGATCCAACCCATGCTCTACGGAGTGGTAGGACGCATCTCTATCCACTCAACTACAGGCTAAAGAATCGAGCACTGAAACTAAGGACTCGTAGAAGACCTCCTTTTCCCTAATTTACATTTGGACATTTGCATCTTTTGCTTTTTCTATAAAAAACGGAAATTTTCAGATAGGTAGGTCATTTGTCCATTTCAACAACAACATGTAATTGCTATTATTATCAAAAATATGTCAATATTTTCTTATATTATTATGTATTTTTGTATATTTTAGTAAAATAAATAATTGGCCAAGAGCTCTTGGTGGCTTTTCATGAAATTTTTAAATATGAAAGTAAAAGGTGTTTTAGTATTAACTACATAATTTTTTATGGAAATTCGAAATTAAAAAAAAAAAACAAAAAAATATTTTACCATAGATTGCATCATAAAAATTCAAGATCCTTTGAACGTGAAATTGTACATACATATATAGAAATAGTTGCTCCAATGTTTCTTTAAATTTACTTGTAAGAGAAAAAAATCACATTTGTATATAAATCCTTTTAACTATGAAAAAAAAACTCTAGCAATGTTCTCTTATTTCTAATGAAATCGTCACAAAGCAAAGACAAGGGGCGTCTATAAATTGATTTAAAATATACAGGGTAATCCACTTTCTCGATGGAAATTAATGTTGAAAAAATCACGCTGAATATTTAAGTTTCGATGGCATTTTTATTTCATAATAAAGTTGGGAGATGCCATTATGCATGCATACATACATACATAAGCACGTGAAAAATCATATCATTCAACGGTCATCTATTTTCAGGACCTTTTGATATAATTTTCGACAACTGTTTCATACAATTCAGGCAATAACTCGGCATATTAACTTGACGCATATTGCTTCTCACTTGTGTCAAAGTTCTGGAATTTACAGCTTTTTTTGTCAGGCAATTAAGATAGCTGCAACAACACATGTAGTCCTCACTCTAGGCGCAAATATATTTTCTATTACTGTTATGAGAGCATGTTACCACCCAACTGCAGGTGTTGGAGGTTGTGTTTAGGTGATAGACTTTTATCGAGTATTTGACCTTCTTTTTTAATTTCCGACTGCATTTATTCTAGTTTACATTGATATAAAAACGCTTTGACTGTGTATAGAGTACATACACGCATACATATAGTCACCTAAAATGCAAAAAGACGTAACAACATCGTAAACGAAATGGCAAAAGTCGTGATTTTTTTCATAAAATGATGTGGGGAGTTGTAATTCGATGAAATCCATCATATAAATCATAAAGTGAATTTTGAATTTTTTATTGGTTATGACTTTTTGCATTTCAACGATGGTGTTTGTTACGTCTTTTTGCATTTCAGATGACGATATGCATGTATGTGCATATTTCAACTTACTCTTATATTCTTAAAAATATGCTCTAAAACGAATAGAAAACTTTCTCACTCACACAGCATTTAATGCGCGTGACTAACTTTGGCAACCCTTAAAATTAACATTTCCCTTCAGATATTTCCTCTCTTTTGTTAATTTAGTACTATTTTTTACAAATACTAGTTCTAAAATTTCTCGCTTAAAAATTATCTAATAAAAGAAAATACCCAAAGATATTTTTAAATACTAAGGATGTACGCATGTCTACGATATTTAGATTGAAAGCATACCTCGTAAGTTTGTAGGATAAAGTTAATTATTAGAGCTGAGTACGCTTAGTCTAGGTTGCATATGTAGTATGTTTATGTGAATTTCATTTAAACCCGCTTTTCTAGCAGAGCCTATAATGAAAATATATGAAGACAATTATTAAAGGGCGAACATTTTTAATTCGAAAATAATCAACGATAATGTTACAATGATATATAAATGCATACATATGTATACAACATACAAATATGTGCTCCATATTTAGTTTTAGATATTTTTATACAATTATAAAGTGTATGTATGAAAAATTATTTAAATTAGCAGCCGCAAAACTATTTATGTATTTATTTTTGTTGCTAGTTTGTCGCTATTTTTAAGTAAACGCTTTTAAAATTAAAAATAAAGTCAAAAAATTAGGTAAACATATGTACATATATGTACTATGTATTAGACAAACAAAAAGTGAAGTAATAAAGTCATCATAGGTGGAACTACTAAAGCAAAAAACCAAATAAGTATTTTAAACAAAAAAAAAAATAAAATAAACAGTCTAAAAACCAGCGTATGTTAAATATTTAATTGAAAAATTATGTATAACAAAATCTTATAAGCGAATAAAAAATACATAAATTATATCTTACAAATCATCATATTTATGTGTGTGTGTATTATTGACGTACGTAATGCTCAAATCAAATTGATATACCAAGTACATACTTACATACATGCATATGCAGCTAGCATATAAAATTTAATTACGAATACGTTTCCCAAAACTACATACATACATACATACCTAATTTTGTAATCATTAAAAGCAACCAAATGCGTTGATACTATATATAATTACTATAGACTAGTAGCATTATTAGCATTTAGAATAACATCTTAATCTTAACTCATATGAATATGCAACTACATAATAAAGTATCGCAATAATATCTAATTATACGCAAAAATATTACAAAAAAAAAACTATGATAAAGTAAAAAATAATTTATGCGTATATTATATTATCTACAATTACATTCATATACAATACATTTACACATATACAAGCATCGTAAAAATATACATACATGCATACATAAAAGAAGTTTCGCAATATTTCTCTACATTATACTGGAAATAATAATAAAATTAATTAACTAAAGTAAAATATAAACCATATTTTATCGTATTGTATGTTATAACGGTCATGCATATGATTATAATTTAAAAAGTTCATTGAAATAAAACAAAAAAAAGAAATAATTTTGTCATACCAAAATACCATACATCGTAATATTGTTTCATTGAGTTAATTTAAAGGTAAGCACTGTTGTAACAGAGTAACAGTTTTTTTTTTTGGGAATGATGCTGGAGGACAGTCCTTGACCAGACAAGAATCTTGGTGCTTCCTGTTGTTGTTGTAGTGGATCTACTAAGCCCCGCCTGGGTCGATTTGTCCATCAAGCGTTGTCGTCAAGTTCAAGTTCGATGGGGTCGTACTAAAGAGAGAGATTTAGATTGAGCTGACATGTGAAGGGGTGGTTGGTGTCACACGGAGAGTCTCCACATGCCGGGCACTCATTGTGGATATCGGGGTCGAGTCTGGACAAGCTATACAGCCCAACTCATAATATTCCCGGGGAGTTTGTTCTTCGGGAATTTGTTTCTGAGAAAAAAATCCTCCAATAATTAACACCCAGGGAGTAGCATTTTCCCTGAACATTTGGGAGGAGGAAATTTGAACTTCGAAAAAGGTGTTTGACATATTTTTGACAGCTCATTTCCGCCATTTAAATATGGAAAATCCTCTGGAAATGTTTATTCATGATAGGAGAAAAATGAAAAGAGAGAGAACTCCCGGGGTGTTTCTGTTCAGATTCAGCCTGATATTATCCTGACCGTAATTGGGCTAGAGTAGCGTGGGTCCCTCGGGGCAGTCTCAGTTCCAGAGTCTGCAATATTTAGGTGGTGATTGGGCTCCGATCACGACATTCATAGCTCGAGAGCCATGCTAGGTGGTGACCGGCTCTCTATGAATGCAGTTTATCACTCGTCGGTACGTCGTAGGGCGTAGTAGTTGGTCGATGTAAGTCTGGAACGCGTCCATGTACGCGGAAAGATGCGGCTTTGAAGTCGAGAAATAGGTGGTGAGTTTCGATCCTTTTCGAAGATTTGACGTATTGTGATACCTGGTCTATGGTAGATTTTCCAGGTCTGAAGCCACTCTGATAAGGCCCAATCAGTTCGTTGACGTTGGGCTTCATTCTTTCACACAATACGATCTATAAGACCTTGTAACCTATGCTTAGAAGGCTGATCCCGCGGTAGTTGACACGAATGGCGGGGTCGCCTTGTGGATCTGGCAGAGCACACTTAAATTCCGGTGATCGGGCATGCAAGTTTGAAAGGCGCTTAACTGAAAAACTTGGAACGAAGATTATTCATCGTCTGCAATCTGTGCTGGTTCACATTCGATAATAACATTCGCGAGACCAGAGTTAATTAATGGAGGTATTAATGCCTCTCGAAAAATGCCATTTGATAGTCGTTCTTCTTTTGCGGATGTCGTACGTGTGGCTAAACTTGGTACTGAAGATTTAAGAGGTCTTACTGTTTCGGGCAGGGGGAGCCTTCCGCCTCCGTGTCTCAAGCTTCCTTCTCTACGTCCTGTGGGTCCCCGGCAATCAAACAGGCGCTGCAGAGTTTAGAACTGTCCAGCCAATCCCTTTCCATATTGCCAACAATGGCCTTTTTGCGGCTTTGAACTTCTTTTGGTTCCACTAAGACCGTCTTCTCACACGGGAGATTTTGGGTAAAGCCATTATTTGAATACGTGCACTATACGGAAGCCAGGCTGATGTACAGCTGAACTCAGATGTCGTGAATGTTGAGTGGGCTGCACTGAGTTTACTATTGGGGCAAGAAGGTCTGAGTGCCTTAGGTTGGCAGGTTTCCCGGGTATCAGTTGATGACCTCGTGAGATAGCTAACTCCCGCTATTCGTAACACTTTGGAGGAGTTAGACTTCCCGACAATCACCTGATCTTCGTCGCTGGGGAAAGTAAGTTGACCCTTTCTTCATGTCAGATAAAGTAAGGTCTCCGAACTTACACAAGGCTCTGACAGTGGTCCAAATCTTGCTTGCACCACGCGAATTGGTAGGCTTTTAGGTAATCTTCTCATTTCGTCACACTTATATTGATTTACCAGTTGACTTATATTTAAATTGAGATTTCTTATGCAGGGATTCCCGGGATCAGCCTAGTCTAGGTTGTCGCGCTCGTTCTATAAGGCTGCTGCTTCGACTGCGAAGTTGAGCGCACTTACGCAATGTGTCTGCCAGGTTTGAACCGGTAGCTGTACCACTTTGCTGAATGTACGTCTTCCAACTCGAACGTTCGTGGGAATAGGAAGGGTGGAAAGGTGTTGTCCGTGAAGTTCATAATGCCGGCCCATTTGCTTTGTTAATGTTTATGTATGTGTGCACGTGAGGGGCTCCGTGAAAACGATGTCTTCAGGTTTGTCGGGTTTCGTCATGATTCATCCTCTGACGCTGCAAGCCTGAGGCCAAAAAAGCAGGCGAAGTCGATAAGCGTGGTCCTTAGTGCTTCTGTTGCCACGGTCTTCGGGTTAGAGGTGCATGCGAAGAGATGTTGGGCGCTGTGTGGATCCTGCCCCCATACTGAGCTGGTGTCTGCACGTCTGAGTTCAGCCGGGAGAGATAGCTGTTTATCGTTTACCACCACCCTTGATGGAGTTGAGCTAGGGTGCATCTGGTCCCTCTCGGCAGTTCTGCTTCTTCAATGTAGACAAGCGGGGGGCGACCACCTGAGACGAACATGTCGTCTCCGGGTGCTGAGAGTCTACCGGACTATTGTTGACCGCAGCTCGGTATTTTGCTGCGTCGGATAGATGGTTTATGTACGGCTCGTTGTCGGGTTCGCGATCGTGCTGTGGTCGCCTGGCGTCTAAGGGGCGAATAGGTTAGCAACATGGTGTTGTAAGGGGGTTTGCACGATGGGTGGTTCCCACGAGCAACTGCTTCGATAGCAAAGTGTTTTGTTTTTTTACCGCCAGTATTTGGCTTTCTTTGTGAACGTTATGCTCGGACGACAGGAGATGGCAGCCTGCATCCGTACGTAGAGCTGGATTCTGTCATACCAATATACCACACTGGCTCTGCGTAGCTGGCCACCGACCGAGGTCTATCGCTTTATATGTTGTGAGCAGGCTCTCTTTGCCGGCTCTCCAGGTGCTGCCGGTTAGTGACTTGATGATTTTGTTTCTGGAAAAGGCTGTCGAACGTTACTCCCAAGAATTTGTCATGGTTGATCGTCAGCATCCTGGTGCCATCGACGTGTGACGTAAAGTTCCAGCATAATCTCTTTAGTCTACGTGGTGAAAACTGAAATACCAGTTCTCGGTCGGAAAGCCCCACGTTGACAGATCTTGGTCTTGTTGCGGGCTTTGTGCTGAGGAACAGTTCGTTCTAAGGACAGCCGGGTCTACGTAACCGGAACGACCTATATATATATATGGTGTCAAGGGATGTCACTTCAGATATATTCCCCCTGTTGTTGTTGTAGCAGCATACAAATTCCCCAAAGAGTTTTTGGGGAGTGTTGCTGGAATGACAGTCCTTGGCCAAATATAAATCTGGGTCGTTCCGGTTACGTAGACCCGACTGTCGTGGGAACGATATATTCCCCCTAAAACGGCTTGGTAAATTTTCATGCTCTTAGAACAACAACAACATGAGGAATATTTGAAAATGTTTGTTGCGCGAGGAATCCAAAACGGTGCAAATATGTATGGCAACGCTTGTTCTTGTATATTTCGACATTCGCAATCATCTGTCTGGCAACTGGCAACTCTTATAACACGGCTAAAGGAGGAATTAGTCAAGAACGCAGAACTTATACTTAAACGCACCCTGTATACGCAGAATTTTGTCGATTACTGAAGCCCTCAGTGTTGCTTACTACAGTATTGCCACTCATCAATGCCTTTTCATAAACTTACCTTTTCAACTACAATTTTTCATGCTATATTAGATGCTAGCTAAATATAAACTACTTATTTTTCAAAAAAAAACCTTATTCGATAGTAAATTTCAAATATTTTAAACGTGTTTTGAATGGGAACTTATAACTTATTTACCATCTGCAAAACTGACGAAGTGGCAACCATCTATAGAAGGAAGAAATCTGCTGACACGGAAAAATCTAAATTCCGCAGATTTCTGCGCTGGTGAGATAGATCGTATCAGCTGACTCGGGTTTACGTACCGGTAGGTTTACGTTCTTGACTAATTTCACCTTAAAGATAAAAGTCAAAAGAAAACGAAAACTTTCCTTTTATTCAACTACACCCAAGAACGACAAAAGTAGAAAATTAACAGAATAAAAACTGGTAAAACCGATAAACCACACGTTCGGAGAGTAATTCCATTAAATTTGCAGAGCTGAAGAACAAATCGAACAACACAAACAACTTGCCAAGAATTGTGCGATTATTCCGGCAATAGTACAGCGAATAGCAATTAGTCGCGGAACGCGACGAGCCAATTACAAAAACAGCAACAGCGAAAAGACACATCTACCATAGGAACAGTGGCAGCAGTAGTAAAACCGCAGTGCAGTTTCATAGCCAAACAGTTTTCGAGGAGCACAAGCGCACGCAACAGTCAAATAGTCAGGTGTGTCATTGCGAGAGTATAAGGTGTGTGCAGTAAACCGGGTGTGAGCTATCAGTAAAGTGCCAACGTAATGCCCTTGTTTGGAAAATCACAAAAGACCCCCGCCGAATTGGTGCGGTCGCTCAAGGAGGCAATCAATGCCCTCGAAACGGGTGGGGATCGGAAGGCAGAAAAGGCACAAGAGGATGTTAGTAAAAATCTTGTTTCAATAAAGAATATGCTGTATGGCAGTAGTGACTCAGAACCGCCAGCTGATTATGTTGTTGCCCAGTTGTCACAAGAGCTTTACAATAGCAATCTGCTGTTGTTGCTCATACAGAATCTGCATCGCATAGATTTTGAAGGGAAAAAGCACGTTGCTCTTATATTCAATAATGTGTTGCGAAGACAGATTGGTACACGCTCGCCCACGGTGGAGTACATTTGTACAAAGCCCGAAATCCTATTTACGTTAATGGCTGGCTATGAGGACGCACATCCAGAAATCGCACTAAACTCCGGTACTATGTTGCGCGAGTGTGCACGATATGAAGCATTGGCTAAGATAATGCTACACTCAGATGAGTTCTTCAAGTTCTTCCGCTATGTAGAGGTGTCAACCTTCGATATTGCGTCAGATGCATTCTCCACTTTCAAGGAATTGCTGACACGCCACAAGCTGCTATGTGCTGAATTCCTCGAGGCCAACTATGACAAGTTCTTCACGCAACATTATCAACGATTGTTAAATTCGGAAAACTACGTAACTAGGCGACAAAGCCTGAAACTATTAGGCGAACTATTGCTTGATCG